CAGTGCAGCTGTAAATAGTGCTGTGATGAGGAGATTGCCCTGCAGAGTAAGTTTGAAGTGCCCTATTATTTGGAGTTTTCTTTGCTAAGTCTTTTATTATTTGGATAAGTAAGAAATAGCCAGAATTTCAGCACTTTTTCTCTTACCTAGCCATTTTATGTTTTCAGAGGTAAATACAGTGTACAATAATATTTTTGCATTTATTTGTTAGTTTATGGATAAAATAAGAGCACACATTATTTGCTTGACTTTAGGTGGTAAGTTAAATCATCCCTTGATTAATTGACTTGATAGAACCAAGGTCTCCCAGTGTCATCTAACCCTTAATCCCATGAGACTTCAGCGCCCTGTATGTTAACTAAAGAATTCTACTTAGGCTTCATTAGAGTTATGCCTTCTTAAAATTTAAACATGAAGTTCTGGTGGTGTAGTCCCTAGGGAGTTGGTTGCATTGCTAACCGAAAGGCCAGTGTCTGTCTTGGAATTCTAATGGTTCTGTAGGAACAAGATGAGCAGTTTTCTCTGGAGCAACTTTACAGTCTTGGAAACTTGCTGCAGGCCCAGTCATAGTTGGTTTTAACTTGATAGCAATGAGTTGAGTAAAATTTAAGTCATTTCACATACTCTAATAAGAGTGTAATTTATCTTAGTAGAGCAAGCAGTTAATATAGCTTCCCAGAGCACTTATGTACAATCAGCATGACATCAAAACACTGTTTTATGAATGGAATTCTGTCTAACATCTTTCTATGTAGAGTTGGGTTCCTGAAGCCGCAGCATTTGTGTCTCCTGGGATCTGGTTCCAAATGCAAATCCCAGTCTCCCTACCCATTACATACAGAATTGAAATATGCATTTTGGTCCAAAATCCCAATGATCCATCTGTACATTATGTTTGAGAAGCATTGAACTTAGATCCATAAATAACACTAGCCCTAGGTAAGATTGTCCTGAAATTGGTGATAATGCAGTTGTGAAGTAAAGTAAACCCATCAAGGGAAAATGACTTGTGTATTCTGAACATACCAGTAGTTAGAGCATGATATCAAATCAGTGAAAAGTTAGAGATATTGAAGGAAAACAATAAAAATCATTATAGTAAAAAGTGCAAATAAATGTGATGCTGAAAACATTCTATAATACATGGTATTTAAGGAAAATTAAACATGAAAATGTCATGTATATAGATAGTATCATGAGCAGCAAATCAGAAATGAATCAGCCTTAGCACATGGTGATCTCCATTGATCGAGGTTTCTTCAGAGCAAAGGATAGTTGAAGCTTTTATAGCTTTCATGCAATAACTGAGACTATTTGCCAGAAAGATAAAGATAAACTGGAGCATGTTCTGAGATGGGCTGGAAGATTGATTATGGCAAAGGAAGAACTGATTTATGAGGAGAGAGAAAAATAATTAAATGGGCAGCTCTGTGCTATAAAAAGAGACTTCAGAGACATGGATATTTATCTAACGTTTGTCCGGTGCTGTTTCCTGTGGTCTCTATATGAGAAAGGCAGAAATGTCAAGGTGTTTGATGCTAAGACGTCTGCTACAGAACAAAGCAATATCAGCCAAAATGGTTTAATTCAATTATGAGTAATATCAAGGATTATACTTCAGAAAATTTTCCTAGTGTATAAGAAATGACCTTGTTGACCTATTGGAAGGTCATTTAGTGCATAAGAGATGACTTGGTCGCTGAGAACTATGTGTAAAGAATGGTAAATAATATATTATGTTGTTGAATTATCTGTCTTGGCAAATAACTACAATCTTTATCCTTTGAAATTTCTAAAATTAGTGTGAAAAACTAGGATGTCGCCTTTGGGAACTTCCTTCACTTCTAGCAGAGAGACCTGATGATAGACGAGTTTTTTTCTGTAATATATTTGATTATTGCTGACGTTGCCATATACAGATAATTTCTTTTTCTTCAGGTTTTATCCTATTTAGATAAAAACAACTAGTTTCTAAACAGCTAGAATGTTACTCCTCTGCCCTCCATGGCATTGGAAAGCTACTTGGCATCCAGAGACCTTATTTCTCATTTCTCTCTCAATGAAGTTTATTAAGAGGGTATGATTCATTCCATATTGGAAGTGTATTTCCTTACTACATTCACATAATTCAGGAAGATGAAAAGACTAGTGCAAAACACACCTTCCATTGTGAAACTATTCATAAATACAGTCATGAACTGATTAACATCTAACCACATATACATCTGTGTTCCCATAAGGTTAAAACAAAGTGCAGAAATCTTGATAGGAGAAAGGCACAAAATGAACACAGCTGCCTCCTGCTTGCTCTATTATGTCATTTCTCTTGTATATAAAGATATTGCACTGCCAGACATATGGTTGTGTGTGTGTGTGTGTGTGTGTGTGTGTGTGTAGTAGTAATAATAAATACCTCTGTTACTGGCCTATGCATGTACTGTCTAAAATGTGTCCTATATTAACAGTGTATGCTTTGACATGAGGGCAGTAGTACCCAGTCTTGTGGTGCCATGTGTCTTCTGAGTGTTATGACATTATCTCTCTGTTGAATTATCTTTCAAAAATATTACTGTGAAGTGCATCAAAGCATCTGCATCCCAAGGCAACAGAATCAGTGCTAGTTGTAGTAATAGTATCAACTTGGAAGTCAAAAGGTTATTAAACAACACAAAATGAAAAATCAGTGACTGCTGTTGCTCACAATTTAGATGCATTGTACTGACAGTCAGTATGATCCTCAAAAAACAAAAGAGAAGTTCTCTGAGTTGTTAAAGGATCAGCTGCACTGAAAACTGTGAGGCAAATACAAATAGAAGAGGAACCTGTATTAGATAAGGAAAGTAGTTAGTGATGTGTTTGAGGACCAGAGATGTGAATCCCTCAGAACACCTTGATAATCATTATTAAGAAGTTCATTTAAGAAGTGTATTTTTTAAACAAACAAAAATTAGGAACAGACTAGCAAATGGTTTTCTCACAACCTCCAGCTCACAGTTTGTCATACTGTACAGAGCATATCCTGGACACTAAATGATACATGAGTCCGACGTAGAAATCCTGAAGTCATTCAGTGTCTGATCTTTTTGTGAGGATGCAAACTAAAACGGTGTCCATTGAAAAGAGAAGACCAGAGTGGATCTCTAATTCCATGGGCCAGAAAGCAAGAGAAACAAAAACAAAATTATTTCATGTTCTGATAGGTTTTTTTTTTATACTAGCTTTTCTTAGACTCACATTTATGTTGTCCAGGAAACCTAGTTCATGGAATATGTTGCTAAGAATAATTCATAGAAATATCTTGGCTATATATTAGATATACTTCTGTAGCATCAGGATGGATGGTGAAGAGATTGAGATTGTTCACAGCTTCAGTTTGCTTGGCTCCATGGTCAACACTCTTGGCACCAGCAGCTAGGAAATCAAAAGACGTATTGCGATGGGAAAGTCTGCTGTTAGGGACCTCTCTAAAGTACTCAAGAGCAATGGTGTCTCTCTAGAGACTAAGGTGCGCCTGATACAGGCCATGGTCTTTGCAATCACGTGTTATGCATCAGTGCTGGAGAAAAGTATTGAATGTACCCTGGACTGCCAAGAAAACAAACAGATTCAGCCTGGAGAGGGTTAAACCAGGCTACGCCTTGGAGGCAAGGATTCTGGGGCTTCATTTGACATACTTTGGACATGTTGTAAGGAGAGACAGGTCCTTGGAGAGAGACATCATGCTTGGTAAGGTGGAGGGACGGTGCAGGAGGGGAAGACCCTCTATGAGATGGATTGATTCGGTGACTGGGGTAATCGGGATGGGTGTGTCAGAGGCCATGCGATTGGCACAGGATAGAGCAGGGTTTTGGGCTGTTGTACATAGGGTTGCTGTGAGTTGAAAACGACTTGACAGCACATAACAACAACAACAACATAGGGAGGGTTGTAAAACTTGAAGATGAAATTAATGACTTTAGTTTGAGGTGCTTCAAATTATGAATTTTGTTGTTGATGGTATTTATTTTTAACTTACTGTTCAGTGTTGCTATTTATGCCCTATGTGTTTGCTTTGACTTTAAGAAATCAAGTTCTCTGTAGTGAGAACATCTCCTTTTACTCCCTTTCTCCTTGAAAGGGAACCAGTGTGTAAAACATAAAGTCTAGGATATTTTCTTGTATCCAGAATACAAAGGTAATCTTTTTCTAGACCCTGGTGTGTTTAAAAAAAAAATTGCCAGTGTTTTACATGTGCAAACAACAGATGTTGACAAGATGGAAACTAATTGGGGTAGGGTGGGGCTAAAATTGATAGGTTGCAATCTTTATTTTTTCCTTGATTCCTGACTGCTATAGCTAGGAAAAGGGTGGGAAGAAAGTCTTCTCCCCCCCCCCTTTCTAAATCACTCTTACTAGTGTCATATTGATTTTCTCTCAAGTACACCCTGTGGTCTCAGATGATCACATCTTCTCCGGTGTTATTTGTGTTGATACTGCACCTTGATTCTGGGTTGACATATATTACCTGAACTGTGCTGACACCACTCCTTGTTGATATTACATGTTGGTGATGTGTACCTCGCCTCTTACACAGAAAACATAAGAGAACAAACAGGCTGCTTCACCAGCAATGTTTTCATTCTTTGAAAAGTGATTGTTATTCACCCCAAAGTCTTCCATCAGTGTTGCTTAACCTTGTGGCTAATGCCTACAATAGCGTCTCAATGTTTTTTGTATTTCAGCTGATGTAGGATATAAAAAAAAAAAATCCTAATCTAGGTAACAAAATATTCTTGTGTTATACTGTTTATAAGAAATATATATATATATACAGTGTGTATATCTATATCTATCTATCTATATATATGTTTGTGTGTGTCTCTATATATATATGTATGTATATATGCACACACACTATTAAATATCTGACAGACCATGTGGTGGCTTTCCTATATGCCATTGATTTTGCTCTTTTTTTCTTACTTTGTATTCTTCTCTCATCTCACCTCCCTCTGTTTCAGCTAGCTGTGAGGTGGTTGGAACACAACTGCCATTACCAGTACATGGATGAGCTCCTTCAGTACATCCGCTTTGGCCTCATGGATGTGGATACTCTCCATACAGTGGCCCTGTCCCACCCCCTGGTCCAAGCCAGTGAGACTGCAACAGCCCTTGTCAACGAGGCCCTGGAATACCACCAGAGTATCTATGCACAGCCCGTCTGGCAGACTGGGAGGACCAAACCACGGTTCCAGTCAGACACACTGTATATCATTGGTGGGAAAAAGCGTGAGATCTGTAAAGTCAAAGAACTTCGCTATTTCAATCCTGTGGATCAGGAGAACGCACTCATCGCCGCGATTGCCAACTGGAGCGAACTGGCGCCCATGCCTGTGGGAAGGAGCCATCATTGTGTGGCTGTCATGGGAGACTTTCTGTTTGTCGCAGGAGGGGAAGTTGAGCACGCCAGTGGCCGGACATGTGCCGTGAGGACTGCCTGTCGCTATGACCCCCGTAGTAATTCCTGGGCAGAGATAGCACCCATGAAAAATTGCCGGGAGCACTTTGTGCTGGGTGCCATGGAAGAGTACCTCTATGCGGTTGGGGGCAGGAATGAACTTCGCCAGGTTCTGCCTACAGTCGAGAGATACTGCCCCAAGAAGAACAAATGGACGTTTGTGCAGTCCTTTGACCGGTCCCTTTCATGTCACGCTGGCTATGTGGCTGATGGTCTTCTTTGGATATCAGGTAGAACATACCTCCATACGTTGGATATCGCAAAAAGCATTTTTCATGGTGACATCTTTTAAAAGTCAAGCTTTTGTTGATGTGGTCATGAATTGATCATATGGAATTGAATGATTGAGCTAAGTTTGTCATTTTACCTCATTAACATTCATTTATTGAGCACCTATTCTGTGGAGAGCAATGTAATTAGAAGTAACTGACCTTTCTATGACTTTCTATAAGTGATTAGTGGAGTAAAAAATTTAAACTGAAAATTAATGACCCATAGCATCTGTTTACTTAGGAAGCTTCTATTGTTTATATTATTAGCTCTAGACTGTTCATGAATTGTACTGTGCAGTTTGTGGTGTAGCCAGGTCCTTTTGCTTTCACCCGGGGCCAGCTTCCCAGGAGCAATTTCATCAAAGACAGGGCAAAGGAAATAGAAGACTTTCATGCTACCAGGGTATATGCGTACTGCACATTGTGGGGAGCAATTTAAGTTACTGTCCAAAATAAAGTTTTTGTATAATCTGTGATTGCACTTACTCATGCCATCCTAATCTTTTATTTCTATTTGCTCTTTTTTTTCTTACTGGTTATTTGGCAGTATGGTTTTAGCTCTATTTACTTTTTTGTCTCTGTTTCTTAAGAAATCCAAAACCTTTGATTATAGATAAACGAGAGTCTAGTTAGTGAATACCATGCACACATTACCCAACTCCAACTCATTGCCATTCTCTTTACACTCATATACCCCGTCCCCATTCAAGATTATCCAGAATCACATCCTAGACATTTTAGATCCAAGTAATCCAGTAATGCTACTCATTAAAACAGGGATTCCATTTTAAAACATAACCACAATTACCATTGTGACATGAAGAAAATAATAATTGCAAGTCAGTGTTCAAACAAAATCAGTTGTCAAATGAGCTTTTTTTTTAACCTTCAAATTGAAATCTAAGTGAAGTCTGTAAGTTTGCTGTTTCTTAAGTCTCTTCACATTTATAAGTTACTGCTCTGATCTTTTAACTTTGCATTTTGTTTGTATGTTCTCTGTAGTTTTTGGCATGTCATGATAGGATTTTTATATTGGTGTTTCCCTCATGTTGGAAATTAGATGAGAGTCTTGACCAGATTTATATTTCTTTTTTTTCCCCCCTAAGAAAACCTTATAGGTGTTGTTATTTAAGAAGTGACCAGTAGTTAATCTGAAAGACCTAACATCTTCATTGATAAGCTTTGCTCCCCTCATGCTATGATCATGTGGCATGGAGCAGAAAAGGATCAAACATTTTCACAAATAAGTAAATTCAAATTAATTTATCCAAGTACTGGATAAAGAGTATTCTGCATGCCAAATCTAAATTTGGTCAGAAATCCTACCTACTTTGAATTCACATCACCAATTATTGAATGTCTGCTGGTTGCTAATCACCATGTAACCAAGCCAATACATGCTGAAGATTTCCCATTGATAAATTGAACACTGAAGAAATAGAGTTGTTCAGAACGTTTACACTTTCCTGACTGCTGTTTTTGTTGTACTAGAGAAACTTATGAGGTAGAGGTTCCCAACACCACAGTTATGTTGTGTGCCATTGATTCAGAATCAACTTACAGGTGACCCTTCAGTAGATTTCCAGAGACTATAAATTACATTTGAGGCAATGTCCCATCTTTGTCCTATGGACCAACTGATGGATTTGAACTGCCTGCCCTTAGGTTGGCAACACATCTCCTTACCACTTGAGCTCCCTTTCATTACCAGCTCTAGTAATTCTCGTTCTGTGATTCTAGTTCTGTTATTGGTAAAACCCTCCTTTGAAAGGTTTGTTCCAACTAGAAAGAAAGTTGCTTTTTATCTCAGTTTGGTGCATACCCATTTTGTAAACCAGGTAGAACTTGTTTAATTTCTGTGTCATAAAGAGAAAATGAGAAATAAAATAATCTAAAAGCCAGGGGGAACGTTGAGATATTTGCAATTAGAAGAATCAATCATTTTTAAATACATTTTTGAAGACTTCAGTTTACATTGGTAGGCTTCTTTAGCTTTTAAATGTATTTGAAAACCTTTATATTTAAAAGAAATTAATTTTTACTTTATCCATTTTCTTCTTTACTAAGGAGACTGCCAGTCTCAGCATTTTGGGTAGTGCTTCCATTATTGATAATTCCCCTGTTGTCACTGAAGAAACCAAGAACTAAGGAAGCATATAGATGAGATCTAGGAATTATTATTTCTAAACACCAAACAAACAAATATCTAAACATCAAATAAAAAAAGCTATGAGTGTGCATATATTAGCAAAAATAGATGTATTTAAGGAAAAGAATCATCTAACTTTTGACCCATCCCTTTTTCATAGAGTATATTGTGGTGTTATGATGTACCGTCAAAGTCCTTCTGACTCATAGGAATTCTCTAGGATGAAACAGAGCTGCTGCATAGGGTTTCCTGGTCTACTATCTTCATATGAGCAGATCAGTAGCTCTTTTCTCTTTTGCGGATTCTGGTGGCCTTGAACTGCTGACATTTTGGTTAGCAGTTGAGCACTTGACCATGATGCCACCAGAGTTCTTTTAAGTATAGCTAAGAAGATAATCACCATGAATGTATCCCGTTAACTTTACTGAAGACACTTAAAACTAGGCTGCATACAAGTCTTTGCTAGTAGAAAGAAGAGATCTGGCCACGTCTTGGATAAGAAAAGAATGATGGATCTGTGAAATCAGTATCTATTGTTAAAGGGCTGCATTCCTAAACGTGCATTGCATTTTCTAAATTTTGCTTGAATTCATCACAAATATGTTAATAAAAGGAGGCTTTGGTGGCATAGGGAGTTGTACTATTAACCCAAAGGCCGGACCACTCTGATGGTTGAATCCACCAGTGGCTCCGGAAGTTAAAGAAAAGATGGGCATTCTCCTCCTGTGAGATTCACAGTCTCACAGGCCCGATGGAAGGTCAGCTAGGAGTTGGAACCTACTTAATGGCAGTGAGGAAATGAATGAGTGAGTTTTAATACATATTCTTTTGGGAGGGTGGGAAACTAGCTTTAACAAAATTATTGGAGTTTCTTTTACATGGTTTTAAAGATAGCACATTTTTGTGTGGGCTCTTAAGAAACTACAGAAGTTCATCTTTGTCATTCTGATATCCAGTAGACTTCCTTTACAATATGGGTATAAATGATCCTTTTTCCATTTTATCAATTATATCTATGCACTATAGATTATATTCCATACAATTTTGTAATTTCTCCACTGTGTAAGGAAATAGCCTTTGTTTGTTTTTCATTTGCACTGATGTATGCTGCCCATGTTAACCACACCTAATGAAAACAATCAGTGTTCTTAGGTTTATTTCTCCCCGCTGTGTACTTGAGATTTTCCTATGTACAATCCAATGCCCTTAATTGGAAAGAAAAGGAAATCACCAGTGACATTTCTAATACCTCGAGTCATCTACCTCTTTCCTCAGGCCTAGCTTATAATAAATCAATCATGAATCTAACCATGGTTGGGGAGGGGTGACTAGATTTGCTAATGGGCCCCTTAAAGAAAGACAGGTACATTTCACACTATCACTGCTTTAGAAGCATTAATATGATTTATTAAAGGTGACGAAAATGTTTGAGGCTATTTTTATCCTTTACCAAATAATCAGGTATTTCCAGCTTAATTGATGGAGGACTGGGCCATTGGCATCCTTCTGGTATTTTGCAAGCTTTGCCTGAGGGGTTGGTAGTGTTGATTATAAAATGTGGGTTTCCACAGAGCAGAAAATAAGCATTGCTTTAGAAACAACATTTCTAGCATGTGCTCTTGTGTTCTTGTTCTCACTCTCTGCCTATTTTCAAGTCAGGGCACCTTGGAACCTGACTATAGTTTTTAAAGTTGAAGCAAGAAGTGACGAATTCAGAAAATCAGGCTGTATGGGTATTCCAGCTAGCATTAATTTAAGATGTTGACCCCCATTACCATCAAGTTGATTCCAATTCATGGTGACCCTGGAGGGCAGGATAGGACCATTGCCTAGACTATCTAAGACTGTACTATTTACAGAAGCACACTGTTAGATCTTTCTTCCTTTTTTTATTTGGGGTTTGTTTTTTAATTTCCTTATTTGTTGTTGTTAGGTGCCATTGAGTCATCTTATTAGAGTCATCACAATTCTTAGCAATTCTGAGAGATCTGAAGCTTGTGCTGTCCTGCGCCATCCTCACAATCTCTGACATGCTTGAGCCCATTGTTCTAGTCACTGTGTCAAGCCATCTTGTTGAGGGTCTTCCTCACTTTCTCTAACCTCCTGCCTTTCCCAGCATAACGTCCTTTTCCAAGGAATGGCCACGTCTGACAACATGCCCAAAGTCTACGAGAGGAAGTTTCACCATCTTTGCCTCTAAGGAGGACTCTGGTTGCTCTGCTTCCTGTTCTTGGTCGTGCATACTATCCAGTACTTTGTACAGCACCACAGTTCAAAGGCACTGATTCTACTTCAGTCACACGTATTTATTGTTCAACTTTGAGATGCTCACTGAAAAGACCATGGCTAAGCACAGGCACGCATTAGTCTTCAGTGGGTCCTGGTTACTGACTTTTGCATTGGCTCAAACCACTCTGCCACTCTGCCTCCTTATTAAGCTGTTAGAGAGAGTTAAAATGTATAGGGTCTGTTAAGGAACTTGATAGTGCAGTGGTGGAAGTGCTTAGTGTCTAAGCAAAGGGTCAATGATTCAAACACACTGGTTCCCCCAGCATAGAAACATGTGGCAGTCTACTTCTGTAACGATTACAGCTTCGGGAACTCGATGGGGCAGTTCTCCCGTCTTATACGATCCCTGTTAGTCAGAATTCATGTGCTAGCAGCAAGTTTGGCCTGTTAGAAGCAATTCATATTGTGAATCAGCTCACAAAATACTCTGCACCTTTGTTTTGAAATGGCCAACACTGAAATAAAATAATAATTCTATATACTGCAGCTCTGTGCATTGAAATCCTCCCACGTCTCTCTC